CACCTGCCTTCATGGTGAGGGCTGGCAATTGGTCTAGTTTCTGAGACCTGGCAGCATGACTCCAGTTAACAGAGGGGTTTAGTGAGGATTGAGAGCAGGGTGAGTATAAGAATGTAAACGAGTTTAGAAGGATAAAAGGTGCTCCCTTCCTTTTGGGGAGGGCTTTTGAGACAGGGTCTTGTTGTAGTTCAGGCCGGCCCTAAACTCACTATGTATCCCAGGCTGGCCTTGAACTCATGGCAATCCTCCTGTCTCAGACTCCTGAGTGCTGGGATTACAGGTGTGTGCCACCACGCCTGGCTAACAGGCTATTAGTGGTATAGACAGATCCAGAGGCAGTCTCTGTTCTCATGGAAATCATTGCTCCTCTCTACTTCTGTTTATCTGCTCATGTTAACTCCTTCTACCTGGCCTTCTCTCCATTCACCACAGGGTTTGTCAGCTTAGGCATTACTGACATTATGGGTTGGATATTTCCTTGTTGTGGGGAATTTTCATGTGCATTATAGCACTTTTGGCAGTATCCCTGGATTCCACCCATTAGATGATACCTCCATCCCAGGTTGTATAATACCACAGTGACTCTAGACATTGTCAAATGTCTGTGGGAAAAATAGAACTGCTGATCTATTTTGAATTTATTCCTCTTCCATGACCACCTCTTCCAGGAAGCTTGCTTTAGCCACTTATACTCATTCCAATTTCTCATATATTTGATCTACTATACCCATTATTGCTACTGCTATACAATTTTTCATTACCTACTACCTTCTGTTGACCTCTGTGAGAAACAGTCTTGAAAATGGTCCTTCAAATATAAACTTCTTTTGGGCATCATAAACCTATTACATCTCCTAGAATGAGCTAGCTTCCATTTTACCAAGGAAGTTTCTAGTTTCCTCAACTATCAAATCACACACAGGGCTACACCAGAATTTTTCAACTGCATATCACTAACGATGTAGAGGGGCCAATAAGTTAGGTTTCTCTATAGCAATCTTTCTTAAAATGAAGACTTTATATTTTATATATTGGTCATAAAGATGCTATGGCTAAAATGTAGTCCCAAACCACTACCTTATCAAAGGCTTTTCTAACATTTGATAATTAGATTTCATTTGTATTGGATTGTATCTCTCAACTAGGTTGTCTTCAGTGTTTGATACCTTTGTGATCTCTACAGTACCAAGTAGCTCACTGCCAGACTCACAGAGGTCCATTAATATTTGCTGTTTGATCACATTTTCATTCTAAAGCCAAAAATGATTGCATTCTGATACTGGGTCCTGGCATTCAAAATTATCTGCATTGGTTGGAAGCTTTTTTCATTTGCAAATTATAGAAAACTTAGCTTGAACAAAGAGTGGTTTCTTCTTCTCATGGATGAAGAAAACAGTATCAGTGCAGTTGCTTTTGACATTGCCTAGGCTTTTCGCTCTTCTGTCTTCTCATGGTCACAAGAGGGTTGTTTCAAGGCAACAGATCTACATTCAAGTTTAAAATCACTTTTACCCCCCTCTGTCTCATATTGGTAGGGCTAGAGCTCTGGAACTGTCTCACCAATCTGCTGATTACAGCTCACTGGCCAGCTGTTTCACATGACCACTGTAAGATGCAGGGAGACGGAGCCGGTAAATACTGACCCACTGTAGCCTCTACAGTGGAAAGCAGGAAAGGAAGTGGTGCTGGCCAAGCAGCAGGATCTGGCTTCATTTATCTTCAGCAAAGGTTCCAGTATCTACAGCCCTGGAAGGCAGGTAGCCAGGCTTTTGCCTCAGCAGTGCAGCCTTGATCTCCTAAATGCATCCACTGCCTGGAACTGCTGAGGGTGGCTCTCTGAAAACAGAGAAGATGGTTCAGTGCTCCTGAAGTGGGTGTTAATCCATCTGTAGTTTAGGTTTTGCTTTCCTTTTGGCAGAGTTTTTATGTGGAATGGGAGGCTTCCCAACAAGGAAGCAATTAAGTAAGTTAGACAGTTCCACATGTTCCTGAAATACCATGGGTTTAACTAAGATTAGAGGTAACAATATGAAATTAACCCAGTAAGTTCGTTGATCCTTATAATGGCTAGAGCAAGGGAAGGAAATCAATAAAACTAATCTTTTTGTTCTCATCTTCCTATATACCCCTGTATCACCTCCCTCAAATGACCTTGTATATCACTTTCTGATTTCTCTGCTCATGTCCTTTCTACTCTCAAAGTTCTAATCCATATTACTATTCAAAGTTGTATCAGGCTTCTCAGAGGCAGTGTGGGTCAACCTCCCCGCTGAAGTCAACTAAAACATTCAGTAAAAATATTAAATAATTTTCTTCCCAAAATGCCTGGTAGAGTGGCAAATACTTGTAACCTCAGCACTGAGGAAGGCTGAGGCAGGAGGATCTCAAGTTTGAGTTCCCACCTCAGCAATTTAGCAAGACTTTGTCTTAAAAATAAAAAGGGCTGGGGATGTAGCTCACTGTGAAGGTGCTAGATTCAATCTCCAGCACTGTAAAAGAAAAAAAATTCCCTAAATCATTAAAAAGCTCATGATAATAAAAGTCAGCTAGCCAAGATATAGGAGATCTAGAGAAGGTTGGCATTTTCAGTTCCTTTTGCCCAGGCAAAATATATTGGTCTGAAGAAGAGGCTGAGAAATGAGCTGACTTTGAACACTGTAACTGGCTAGGAGCCCAAAAGTTGGAATCTACTTCTCATTTTCTTTTCCAGGGTGGGGGTTCTGGAAAACGACTGGGCACCAAAGAGCTGCAGAATGTGCCTGAGATAAACTAGAAGTAAAATGTCTTCACATGAGGCTTTAGCATCACAGCTTTAGCTTAGTTATCTGGGGGACCTAAAGAGTTTGAAGGCTTGACTTTGGATTTAAGGGATCATCGAGTGCAAGTGCTCCAAATGCCTGGTGCAGCAAATGAAAATCCTACCTGGAAGAAGATGCCACCCTAGGTCTTAAATTATTTCTATATACAATTTTCAAACATAATCAACTCACAATAAGCAAGCAGATGAGGAATAAAGACAACATAAATAAGAACAAGTACAAACAAGATGTAACAAAAATACTCAGTAATGATCTCCAGCCATCATTCTATGTCTGGCTTTGCCACAATTGTGTCTACCCTATTCTGTCACCTATGACTGCTCTGTCCACCAAACTTCTAGAGCTTTGATGGACTGACTCACTCAAGGTTGGATTCACTGCACACTGTTTTATATTGGGGTTACTTGAATAAGTTTTATTTTTCATAGAATAAAGGTTTCTGGAGGACAAGGAACAAGTCATTAGTAACTTTTGCATCTCCGATACGTCTATCGCAATGTCTTACGCAGAGAAGACGATAAGTAAGTTTTACAGAGATAACCACGAAGACAACTTAATCATTTCTCAGTTGTTGAAGTGATTAAAACAATATGTACCCTAGCATAATTCACAATATTGCAAATTCAATATTGAGAAGCTCAAATGGGTTAATAGATACGAGTTCAGAACCTGCTTAATGTAATGCAGTATAAGCAATTACAAAAATAATAAACACTGATGGATCAGCAACTACTGGAATTTATGATTATAATATGATACTGACCTATCAATGATTAAGAGATTAAAAGAAGTCAAGAGTCCTCAGGGAGCTGACAACAGGATTCAAGACATCCATTCACTTAGTCATGCAATGACATTAAGGACATACTATGTAGCTTACATTGCATGCAGTGATAAAATAATTTCTGCCCTCACACAGCTGGGGGGAGGGAGTAAAGGTGATTAAATGTGTATCAACTGTTACAAAAGCAGAGAAGGAAGACATCTAACCTAGGAAGGGAAGTATCAGGAGGCCTTTCTGGAGAAGTGACCACTAAAACAAGTCTTGAAGAACAGAAGAGACACACAGATAATGGGAGACCCCCCCACCAAAAAAAAACCCAGCGTATTGAAAGGCACAGGATTCAAAGAGCAATAGGGATTTTTTTTTTTTTTTAGCAGTTTTATGTAGATAAGGAGGCCTGGGGATTAAGAGATTGGACAGTTACATTGGCACCAGATTAGTGAGGGTCTTGTGTGGCTTTATGAGACATGCAAACAACTGTGAGCTCTCTTCTCTCTGATGACTCCCTGGAGGTTTATTTAGTCAAGCTGGTCTTAAATTTGAGTACGAATGTGAATGACGTGGAGGGCTTGTCAAAAGACAAGTTTCTGGTTAGTAGGTCTAAGGCTGGCCCTACAACCTGCATTTCTGGTTCCTAGCCAACTTTGAAAATCACTGCTCTAGTCCGACCTTTTCTTTCAGATGAGCAACTGAGACTCAGGAAATGCATTACCGACAACCAAGGTCAGACAACTAAGCAGCAGGACAAACTCGCCAAGCAAGGGGTCTGCCACGCCTTCAAAGCAGAGGTGTCTTCCCAGACCACACAAACAAAAATAGCCTTGCCTCTCTTCCTTCCCTCAAAAATCCCAACACCTCAGTGCAAAGCTTTCAACAATCTATACCGGAAAAAAATAGGTTGTACCAGTTTTATTACAATTCACGTCTAAAGAAGGTTCTTAAACAAAGAAGGCAACGTTTTAACCCAAAGGTATTTAAGAAGGGCTTTCCAGCAAAGGACCGCGCAGATGGGCCCCGACTTGCCCAGACACCGGCTTTGCAAATGTCTCCTAACCTCGGCCGGAAGCCCCGCCAGGCTGGCGGGATATCTGGTCCGAAGCCGCCCCCTGCAGCCTTGTAAGGCGTCCGCCCCGCCCCGCTCCACAGCCGGTTCCGCCGGCGCAAAGTACACGTCCGGAGGCCTGATTTAAACTTCAGTCCTTGTCTCAAAAACAACTTTCCTGAGGGGACTGAGGCGTAGCGGTAAAGTGGGACCGGAAACGTGACATTTTCCGGCGGCAGTGCTCCACCCTTCTCCTTCCCTCACTTCCTCCAGTCCAGTCCGGAACGTTAGCCAAAGTCTTCCGGGCTTCCGGAAGCTCAATAGTTCCGTCGGCCTGAAGGTTGTCAAGTAGGTTGGGGGTCGGGGTGGAGGTTAGATCTTCCAGCTTCCCAAACAAATGCAGCCGGCCCAAGATGGCTTTCTTAAACTTACTGGGTTCTTTAAATCTTGTAACGCACCTTTCTGTCTTGATTTCTCCAATAGCAACTGATATCGCTAGTTATTATAATTATCAGATAACCGATGTCATGCCTCCTCTATTCAGCAAATATTAATAATGAGTGTTCTATCTACACTGTTCCTTATTAGCCACGATGGGGCTCTCAGACACGGACAACATTCTCTCTACCTTCCAAGGAAATTAATGTAGAGAAGGAAAGACAAATACCACAGGCAGAGGTCACAAACTATCCTAATCCACCATGTTGGAGGAATCTCTAGGAATGATAAGAAACTAGCACATGCTGCCATCTGAATGTCAGAAGAAAGTCCCTCCTCCCCCTCCTCTTCCACAGCCCCCCCCTTCTTCCAGTGGAGGCTTCAGAAAGGAGACATATGACTTGAAGGGTGTACTTAGGAGGGATTAGCTGGGTAAACACGGGGAGAAGGCCCTTTCCAGATTGGGAATGGAGTAGGAGAGACCTGAAGTGAGCAATGGCATGATTAAGGTGGGTATAGAGGTGGGAAGTGTATGTCCATGTGTGAAACCTCATCTCCAGCAGATAAGAGTTCTCTCCTTGTATGGGGCAGGACCACTGGCCTTGGTAAGGCCACAGGATGTGATCTCTTTTTCATATTGGGCTCCACCTGAGATCTAGAACAAAGACTTAGTAATACAATCCTAAGGACCTTGGCTTTTTTGCTTCCCATAGAGCCACTGGAACATCATATACTCTCTGGGAAGGAAGTCCGAACTAGGAAAAAGAAAGCTGTTTGGAGTTTGTAAAGCAGCCACATAACAGGAAAGTGACATTTGTCTTCTAGTGATCATTCTGATTAAGAGGACATGTTTAAACATGGCTAATGGCTTAGTAAACCCCAGTTAGGCAGTGCTGAAGCAAATCTGTGTTCATAATCAGAGCAGGGTTGTAAGCATGGCATGTTGTGAGCTGAGCAGAAGAGAGCATTCTCAGAGAAGGACTGATGTTTATGAACACTTCACACTAATGTTTTATTTGTCATCACAGACTTTTCTCTGTGAAAAGATAATAAAGTTAGTAATATTGCTTCGGAGGAAAACTGTGAAGTCATTTTAAAATTTAGAATGTAGGTTGGATATGGTGGCACACACATCCTCCACCCTCCACTTGGGAGGCAGAGGCAGGAGGGTGGCCATGAGTACAAGGCCAGCCGGGCCACATAGTGCAAGGCCAGCCCAAAGTACATAACAAAGCCCTGTGTCAAAAATAAAAAAAAATAAGAATTTAACTGCTATTCTGCTGCCTCAATGTCCTAGAATGTTGAGATTACAGGCATACAGTACTGTGCCTGGCTTGGGCAATTTAGTGATTTAACAAGATCTTTCTCAAATAAAAAATAAGTCTGGGAATATAGCTCAGTGCAAAGACCCTGAGTTCAATCTGCAGCACTGCCCCCCAAAAGTAGTAAATATTAATGAAGATTTACTGCTGGGGGAAGGAAGGGAATGGAGTAGGCATCTCACCACATATGGCCTAAAGTTGATGGAAGATTTTCTTCTGATTTGTATGGCAAACTGGTTAGAATATAGAGAAGAAACATCAGGGAGACAGCAGAGTGTTTGGGTTCTCACCTCCAAGTCTCCTCTCCAAATGCTACATAATGTCTGTTTGGCTTAGATTTTTTTTTTTTTTTTTTTTTTTTTTTTTGTGCTGAGGATCAAACTTGGGACCTTGCACTTTCGAGGCAGGAAGCAGAACCACTGAGCTAAATCCCAGGCCCAACTTTGGAGACTTTTTAGACTTGTAAATTCTTCCTTTAAAGTGAACAGACCTTACTGGGAAGAGGGGGAATATGTCTGGAGGGTAAAGAAAGAGAAGATCAGAAGGATTTTAAGATTGGGGCATCGTGAAGGAGGGAGTCAGAGCAGTGGTCTGCAGGAAAACACCCGAGTGTGTCAGGGACCAGAGGAGCACTGGTTGATGGGAAGGGGCATCAACAAGGAGGATGGAGCACACTGATCACACGTTTTGTTTAATCTGTAGTCAGTGATAGTTATACAAAAAGTGTTTAGTACCAGATACCAGAAGGAGGCTATTTCTGAACTAGTAGTGATATTCCAGCTTTCTGATGTAGCCTAAAAAATGCTAAAAAACTTGGTAACTTACTTTGACAAACATTTCATTATGTCTAATGATTTTGTGGGTTAGAAATGAAGTGTGTGTATTTGTGCTGCTTCTTCAGTTCTGTGTGGAGTTTATGAAGGCCACTCCATGGTCTCACGGCATTTCAAGAGTATGAAGGAGAAGATGTCAACAGGTAAGCATTTGTTGAGCACCTACTTAGCACAGTGGCTCAGAGCACAGGCTCTAGGGTCAGAGTGGTGCTGTCTCTTTCCTCCTATGTGTCTCTGAGAGTCACTTAGCCTCCCTAAGTGTCAGCTCTCATATCGGTAAAGAATAGGAAAACTTCCATAAGGGTTTTTATGAGGTTTACTTGAGATCATATATCTGTATGCTTAGTAAATTTATGTTGGCAGCTGGGTGTGGTAGCACATCCCTATAATCCTGGATACTTAGGAGGCTGAGGCAGGAGAATTGCAATTTCAAGCTCAGACTGCTAACTTAGCAAGATCCTGCAGCAAAATAAAAATAAATAAGATAAAAAAGGTTTGAGGATGTAGCGTAATATCCCTGGATTCAATCCCCAATACCAGAAAAAAAAACCCTTTATGTTGGTGTTGCCGTTGTTTTTACTTCTCTGGGAATGACCTCTTGTTCCATGTGCAGGAGCACTGAGATATAGCAGGCTTGGTCCTTATTCTCAAGCAGTTTGTGAGACAGACCCTGCACCATGGGTGGGTAGTGACAAATGTCCTAATGCAGGAGCTTCGTGGTAAGAACATGACTGTGATCCCAGAAGACTTCATGGGAGATGAGCATGTTTCAGAGAAATGAACAGAAGGACATTCTAGGCTGCGTAGAAAGTGGGAAGCTGACGGGATATAGTAGGAGTATCAGAGAGGTTCTTGTGGGGAAGTGGGATTAGCTGGGCCTCAAAGGCCGGTAGAAGAGACTATAATTCCTGAAACTCCTTTCTAAGCCTTGTTTAGTAGTTTCTCTTCACATTTTTTTCACTGAAATATTCAAAACAGGAGCTGGATGGAGTCCAAAGTGGGAACTGTAAGCAAGACATTTCATGGATGTTTCATGTTTTATCTCAGAAATTCATGTGATTTTTTTTTGTTTTGCTCAATGATATCCCCATTTATTTTTAATGGAAAATCTATCTTAAATTACTTGATATTGAGTCACAAGGAAGGACCCAGCATAATAAGTTCGGATTCCCTTCCTCCAAGCACATTGTGCAAACCATGGTGGAGTTCCTGACCCTAGTGCAATACCAGGGACCATGTGGGGTTTGAATGGGTACAGACTGGAGCGAAGCAACGGTCACATGTGGGAGGTAGGCATGGAGACTGGGAGCTGTGACAGGAGGAGAAGAGCCTGGTAACTGAGGTGAAGAGCTCACTAGAAGTGATGATAAGATACCTAAAATCTGTCTTAGTTGTTTTCCTCGTTGCTGAGACAAAATACCTAACACCCAAAGTTAAGAGAAGAAAGGTTTATTGTAGCTCACAGTTCATAGACATTTCAGTTCATAATTGGCTGGCTCCAAGGCAGGGTGGCACGGCAGAGGGGCATAGCAAAGCAGGCAAGAGGCAGCAGAAGACATGCAGAAGCAACAGCAACAAGTGACCACAGTGGCCTTCTTTCTGTCCCTTATACTCTATCCAGGCTACCTGTCCTTAGTGTAGGTAGCACTCACACCCATAATCTTAGATCAAACCATTAATCCCAATATCACACATTGTTGATCCAGCCACTTCTGGAAAGTCCCACCTATGACCACATGAGGCTCTAGGGGGAAAATCTAGCTACAAGCCATAACCGTGTCTTTAGATCCAAGTTCAGATCCACATACTGTTATTTTCTGTTTGTGTGACCTAGTGAAGGTATGACCTTTCTCAACTTCAGAGTATAACCTTCCCGACTCGTTGGATGAGATTTTATAATAGCTCCTGCCTTGGGGATTGGTGGGATTTGATTAAAAGTGATAAAGTACTGAAAATGTCTGAGACGTCCAGAACCTAACAGAGACTTTGAAAATATGGGTCTGCTTTTCCAAACCTATTTTTCTTTTTGTTTTCGTGTCTCCCTACTTTACACCTCTTACATAATGGAATGCCAGTAGTAACAGAGAAGTAAGAAATGGTTCTTCTTGCTCTTTTAAATGCTATTCCCAGTTTTCCCCAAGTTCTTGTCTTTTAGCCTCAGTTCATTTTCCACATTTGTAGAGTGGAAAAACTTCCTCAGGGTTACAGTGAGGTTCAAATGAGATAACATATGAGTACTCAACAAAATATAAGACATTTAAATCATCTCCAGTGTCTCCTATCTTTAAAATAATAACTCTTCCTCTTTTGTCCTGTTCTGGTTGCTTCCCTTTCTTTTCTTTCTTTCTTTTTTTTTTTTGTGGCATGGGGGATTGAACTCAGGACCTTGCACTTGTGAGGTTGGTGTGGTGCCACTGAGCTAAATCCCCAACTCTTGCTTCTCTTTCTTGAGCTCTTTAAAGGTTAGTTTCACAAAAGATTTTCTGATTCAATGTCTCTAATTCTTACCTATCCTTCTGTCTTAAGTCCAGGACTTTCTGATTTTTACTCCTACCTCCAGGCAACCTACTTCCTAAGGTCACTGGGAATCTTTTGGAATCTCATGAATCTTGTGGAATCTCCTGGACAACTTCCTGGATTTAGTTAGCACTGCTAGCACTTCCTTCTTCTTGAAGTCTGTTCTTTCACATTTTGAGGCACCTTCTTTCCTTATTTTCCTTATTTTTCCCTAGCATTTTGGTTTTTAAAAAAATGTAATATTTATCATTATATGTTTTCAGTACATAATGATTACATTCATCACAGGGAGTTGGTATATGTACATAATCTTAATTCTTTTTACTTTTGTTCTTTTATCTCTTCAGACATTCCTTATTAGCCTCTCTTATGTCTTTTTTCTTCTGTTGCAGTTCAGGCTGATTTTTCTCAGTTCCCATGTTTATCTTCTCATTCTTCATGGTCTCCTAAAGTCATTTTATTGATTCCAGGTTTGAATTAACATCTGATACACAAATAACTCTGCTACATCCTAGACCTTTATGATCAACTGCTTTATGGAAGCCTTTACTTGGATTCCTCTACCTTAACCCTTGCAACCTGCTCCTTTCCAATACTGTGCTTTCTAGTGAATGTCACTACCACCCCGGTTTCTCTACATGTTGCAGAACTATCATATGCCATTTTCTTCGTGCAGCTGGAGTTGCTCTTCAGCCTGAAATTTTCCAACAAATATCCATTTCCCCCTAGGGCAAAGACTGTACACCTTTCTTGACATATTCACAACAGAAGGCGCTCATGCTTTGGCTCTGCTTTCATTTCGAGGCTTACCTGTCTCTATTCCCTGTAAGGCTCCAAGCAAACTGAATACCTTACAGATCCTACAGTTTATTGGATAACTAACATTAACACATGGGTATTTGTTGCTTCTCTCTCCCAGTATTGTAAAACACTTCCAATTCTTCTGTGCCAAAACCTACTGCACCTTCAGAACTCAACTTCTAGGATGACTCTTGATTAGTCTTCCCTGAATCTGTTATCCTGCTGTACTTTGTAAGTACTTTTATGTCCTTAGTCTGTCAAACTTGAAACTTCATTGTACTCTGAGTAATTTTATGGTAATGAGGTATGATAATATAGAAATTCAAGAGGCAGAGACCTGTAAAACTGTTTTCATTTTCTACTTAATTGCTTTTAGTTTTCATTGAGTACTGCTCAGAGTCTTGGGTAGTCTATGTAGCCCAGGCTGTCTGTGAACTCATGGCGATCTTTCTGCCTCAGTCTCCTGAGTGCTGTGTTTACAGGTATGTGCACAACCATGCCTGCCATGATATTTTTATACCAAGGTTCTTCTAAAGTCATGGGAACATGTGGATTGTGTTACAATACATACACTATCAGTTAATTGTTTAGCCACGTGGCAGGATTACCAGATTCCAGCTCCTCTTTGACTCAGCCTATTCTGTCTTTCAAAGAGATGTGTCTCTTGCAACATTCTGTATCAGTTTGGGTTGTTGGCTAAAACAATAGAAACAGATTTTGGCTAACTGAATTGAGTTTATTGGAAATACTTTGGGAATAGCTCACTGTTTCAAAGTAATAGTAATCTGGTCTTGGGCAGGACAGAAACAGGATGGGTCTGGGTATCTCATGGCCTTTCTTCAGACCCAACTCCAGTTTCTAGACTGGGGTGTGCACTTAAATTTCAAATTCCTGCAGGGTAGATCCTGTTTGGCTCAGTGTGAATCAGGTGGCTGTTGTTTGGACCAGTCCTCGTGCTCAGGATTGGAGTACTGTGATTGACTGTGTTTGAGTCACTTGACCCCACTGTGTTTGAGAGTAGAGTACTGAGGTTGGCAGGCCCAAGGATCCCCGCAGATGGGGAAGGACATTGGCTTCTTAACCCACATGGATTCCAAGAGACTGTCTTCTGGCACAGGCCCCTCCTGATTTGACTCTGATACTTCTGTGCTGGTTCCTCTCTTCCCTATGATGCGCTCAGTGAGGAGCATGCCTTAAATTGTGTATTATCTGTGTCCTCCTCTCGTATGCCCTTCTTCCTCCTTGTTCACTTCCTCTGCATGTCCATGGTTCTGCATGAGTGCTTTTTGTATTTATCCATCCAAACCAAGCTCTCTAGAACCCTTTTTCTATAGGACTCTTGCTATTGGGGAAAGGGGCCAGATAGAAACTAATTCAACTAGCATTATTTTTTTTTCCTCATTGAGTTTATTGGTATACTTTTGGTATACAGTACAGTTACATTCATCATTGGGATCTTGCACCTTTACATGACAGGTCTTGGTTCTCATTTTTTCCTCTTAACCCTGCCCTCCCTTCACCCCTTCTCTCTTCTCTGTTTACAAATACTTTATTTCCATTTTTTCATTTTCTCATTTTTTTCTTTTCCCTTATTTCCTTTCCCATACCCTTCCCACGTTCCCTACACCTTTAGCCCTTTTCTTCCTATTTCACATTGTCAACTATACCATTAGGATCTTATGTACCATTATAGTTTTTCACACCAGAGAAATTATTTGGTATTTACATGTGTGACTTATTTCACTTAGGAGTATATCCTCAATATGTATCCATTTTCCTATGAATGACTGTAATGTCTCATTCTTTATGGCTGGGTAGTATTCCATTTTATAGAAAAACCACATCTTCTTTATCCAGTCTCAAACTGATGGGCAAATGGACCGTTTCCAAGTTTTAGCTATTACAAACTGTGCCGCTATAAATATAGCATATATCACTGTGATATGATTCTTTTAATTCTTTTGGAAAGATACCCTGCAGATGGATGCTGGGTCAAATGGAACCTCGAGTCCCAGTTCTTTGAGGTATCTCCATATTGATTTCCATAGTGGTTGCACCAATCTGCACTCCCACCAACAATGGAGAAGGGTTCTTTTCTCCCTGCAACCCCTCCAACATTTGTTATTGTTTTATTTCTTGATAGCAGCCATTCTTTTGGTGTGAGGTGGAATCTCAGTTCAACTAGCGTTTTAATATCTGAGGTTCTTACTGGATGTGGTGATGTATACCTGCAATCCTAGCCCTCTGGGACGCTAAGGCAGGAGGACTGCGAGTTCAAGCCCAGCCAGGGTGACTTAGTGAGACTTTGTCTCAAAATTTAAAGATGAAGATAAAAAGGACTGGGGATTCAGCACACTGCAAAAGCCCTGAGTTCATTTCCTAGTGTTGGAAAATAATTACTGGAAATGTAAGGGAATGTGTAGAGAAATTTTCTGTCCCATGGTAGATGGCTGATGAAGGCATCTCAGGGGACCAGTCCTCTCAGGTCACATAATGCAGGTGTCGGCCTTATCCACTGCAGGTATGACTGAACCAGTCCTCATGCCAGGTGTGTGCACATCCCTAATCCACCTGAGAGCTCCTTAGACTCCAACTTGTGCCCTGGAAAGAAATGCTGTGTATTAAATTACAACGTGACACACTTTCTCTGTAACTTCCTGCACTATGATTCACAGGACCTTCTAAAACATGGCTCCTGGATAAAACCATCATTTCTTTGGACCCTGGAGTGGCTCTGGAAAGGGCAGTAATCAAAGGATCTAGGACTTCTCAGAGAAGCTTTCAAAGCCAAATTCAGGTGATCCAGGAGAAAATGTGTTAGAGCAGGGTGGAGTTGCACTTTCTCCAAGAAGCCACCCTCAGTAATGCAAGGGTTCAGGGCTCTCTTGAGTTTTCTGAACTTGCATTTGCTTTAATGTGGGAGAGCCCATTAAAATAATGTTAGTGCCTTTAGAAATCTAGATTCAATATCTACATGGAATGGGAACAACTGGATTTTAACTTCTATTTTAAACTTTTTTTTTTTTTTTTAAATTCAAGATCTCTCTGTGTAGTTCAGGGTGGCCTTAAGTTCACTATATAACCCAGGATGGCCTCAAACATGTTGCAGTCCTCCTGCTTCAGCCTCTCAAGTGCTGAGATTATAGGCATGAACCACCACACCTGGGATTGTTTTAGAGGCCTTTATTCACCATTTGCATAAGTGTTCCTGGTTGAGAAACATTATAGAGTGTTTGTAAGAGGTGTCTGGAAATAGAACTTGCAAAATGGAACCTGCAGAAGAAATCCAGACCTCACCTGTGCTTTGTTTGGCCAGCATAGTATTAAAAAAATATCTGAAGGTGGGCTGAGGATTTAGCTCAATGGCACTGCACTTTCCTCACAAGTGCAAGGTTACGAGTTTGATCCCCAGCACCAAAAAACAAAACAAAACAAAAAATACCTGAGGGTGAATGCTTTTGGGTGAGGGTATGCAATGTTCAGTTTGCTCTCTTCCCCATGCTTCCCCACTGCCTGTACTCAGGTGCCTGATGTTTTCTTTGCTTGTGACCGCCGGGCACTTGCACATCTGAGTGAAAGTCATCTTGCACATATGCACACTGGGAGGCAGCCTACGTCTTCCAGTGCGACCAAGCTCTGAGAGTTTTTAGAAGCCCTTCATCAGGTACTGACTTTTAAGAGTGTCTTTATCTACACAAGGAAAACCAGTCTCCTCCCTGTGTAGCGGTGTTATTACTTATTTAAAACACGAATATCTTCAAGGTACACATGATATAGCATTCTTGGAAAGGTGTAAGTAGACATTTATAATCTTTGAATAGAGAAGCTTGTGATAGAAACTCCTTGATAGAAGCCCAGAGGAAACGCTTGTTATGCAGCATTCTTTGTAAGGGATGAGTGAATCCTCCAGGTGTATGAGTTCCAGCAGCTTAGGGCCTTCTGAGTTTCCTCGGAGACTTTGTAAACCACTGTGAGCCCAGGGCTGAGGTACTGTCTAGCTCAGTGCTATCAACAGAAATATAATGTTATATTATATGTAACAAATATAAGCCAAACATGTAATTTAAAAATTTTATATTGCTCACATAAAAGGAGTTAAAAATAAAAGTTAATTTAAAAATTCTATTTAATGCAATGTAACCAAAGCACTGCCATTTTAATGTTAAATCAATACAAAATGACTGAGATATAAAACTGTTTTTTTTGCCCTAAGTGTTAAAAATCCAGTGTATACTTTACCTGTGAAGCAGATCTCAGTTAGGACCAACTTCATTTCAGAGTGATACAGTTGTTACATTTGACAGTGTGGATTCAGCCCCTCAGTGAGAGGTCGACATGGGAGTCTTGGAATGCAGAAAGGTCTCTTGGTTGGGCTGGCTAGTCCTGCGGACTGCCTGTGTGTGCTTTTATTGCTCTAAGACGCATTGCCTTTGGGCCACTGACTCATGTCCTAGTTGCCATTTTTTACCCGCTACGGTGGAAAGGACTTAGTTTCAGCCGGGTTTCCCAGTTCGGTGCCAACTTTCCTCCGTGCTTCATTTCTTCCATTACAGATCCTTCGCTGTCATATAATTCAAAGCTTCGATGGGCTGGGATCCAATGGACCCAACCCAAACAGGAAACTGGATTTCTTGTTGTTTATCTGGATCCATGAACCAGAAAATGTTGGACATCTGTTTTCAGTGCTTCATTGAGCTGGAACTGAATTGAAACATGACTCCTTCCAATGGTGCCTTTTCCATGGAATGATTTAGGAGCTTCGACTGTTAGACCAAGGTAATTATTTAGAGCATGGATTGACCCTAAGGTTTCCTTGACTCATCATTATCACATCTCATCGCTTGCTTAAAATCTTGTTAGAGCCTAAACAACCTTATATGAGCATCCCAAAGAATTCTAGGAATATTTTGGCAAGTATGCCACAAACTGTCCGTGTGTAAAAGGTTTTCGTGTCTCTGTCTCAAACTTTTTTTTGGGCCCCACAACAGATAGTTTGCCTGTTGTAACCTGGTTTTCTCTGTTGTGGGAACACTGGTTACATTATATACTGTGTGGTGGCACTATATACCACTCTGGCAGACATGTATTTGGCAGCCTAATAGCCATTCCTTCTGCTTTTGCACCAGTATGGCAGAGCTCACCTGTTGCAGCAGAAGCTGACAATATTGTATGCATGCTTTCCCAGACTCCTTTGCAGCAGGAATAGCCATAAGACCCAGTGAAGGGGGGGTACAGAGTAAAAACTCATAATTTTGGTAGGACCCCATTTCCCTGATATGGGCATTCATCATGACCTAATCACATCTTAAAGTTCACATCTCTTGACTTTATTCATTGGGGTTTACATTTCTGACACATGAACCAACACTGGGGACTCAAACCACAGCAGTGGGTAATGTGTTTGTGTGTCTTCAGAACTCGTCACCCAGATTTGCTGAAGTACATTTCCATTTTTGTTGTTTTTTTTCAAGCAAGCTAACCCTGATGAAAACCTGGCAGTATCTTTACTTTCAGGACATAATATTCCGAGAAGCAGCTTGTCTCAGACAGCTGAGTCCAGGGTTGGGCCTGGAGAGGGTATTTAGCAATAGTGAGAATGCACAGAAGTGGCTCTCATGACACTGACCTACAGCTTTAGGAGTGCATCCTGAACATCTGTGACTCTCCTAGGAACTCATTCTCATCCCTAAGTCAGGAGACCAACGGATGCCCAAGGGAATTGGGCCCATCAATCAGGAATTGAACTTGGGTTTGCTCAACTACCCATCTAGCACTATGGGAACAAAGGCCTAGACCATCAAAATGTGAGTGATACGTTCTTCTATGTCACATTATCACACCCACAATAGCTGCAAAAGACACTTGACACAAACTGAGGTGCAAATATAATTTATCCACACACAATTTGTTATTACAGACAGTAGAAAAAAATACAAGTGTTCCCTAAGAATTCTCACTTGATTTTTAGTATAATACTTAGTAACAAAAATAACTTGAGAAAATTAATATCACTTAAATAAGACAATGTACAAGGCTTTAAATTGTTTCTCTTTGTGGATCTGTATGAGCACAGGGGAGAAGGTGCTATCGTAAACATAGCAGAGCTTGGTTCTGCAGGTCAATGTGGGTCCATGTCTGAGGCCTCTGCCTTGCTCAGCTACACACAGAATCTTCACTGCTGGAAAATCTTCGGTGCTCTTTGCTTTTTTTTTTCTTTTCTCCCAATTCTTGTTTCACAGGCTCCCAAATGAGGAATATTTTAGTTCAAAAACCAAGAATTCAGTTTTTCCACAGGAATACCCATAAATCTTGGCAGTTGCAATTTCATGCTTTCAAAAGGTTTTGGTCACAGGGTTTTAAAAATTGGAACAGTATTTGCATGTTTGTTTTGCTGAAAAGAGGAAGAAGCAAGCTTCTCCCTAAAAGATACATTTATTTACCGCCCCACTTCTGTTTATCCACTCAGCAAACTTTACATTGTACACTGAGCACTGAAAGAGAGAAAAAAATCTTTCAGGTTTCAAAGTTTCACTTTTCCAATCTCCAAAAAGCTGAACAAGAACTGTATCAAGGAGGAAGGCATATTTGGTTATAGAATCTTTACAGAAATTGTAACTTTCAAATTTAAAATAAGGAAAACAGGATAATTATCTACCTGTATTCTTTTGCTGGTTCAAACACCATTGGTTTCTGAGAAAGAATATTCTTAGTATATAGAATGTAATGAGTTTTTAAAATGAAAATATAGCAACTTCTAAAAGTAATACCTACAAGTAATTTGACTTTAATGACCAATTCTTTTTTTTTTTTTTTTTTAATTTTGTACTGGGGATGGGGATCGAACTCAGGACATTGTGCTAGTGAGGCAGGTGCAGTGCCACTGAGCTAAATCCCTGGTCCTTTACTGACCAATCTTTATAAGACATCATCAAATGAATTAAAAATGTGATTTAAAGGGCTGTGGAAGTTGATGATGATTCCAGGTACTTAATGGAATCACATAAGGATTAAAGTAAAAATGTGCTGAGTATTTTATAAATAATTTTGCTAATTATTTTTATAAATATTTACATTTTCTTTATGTTCAAAGTCTGTTTAAGGCAGGAACTTTTAAAATTTTATTTCACTGAAAACAAATTATTTTCTCATAAAAAAGATAATAAAACCTCCTGAAAAATCTATTTGCAATTTCCAAGAAAAGTAGCAGTACAGAATAATTTTGATTGACAAAGTCCCTTTCTCCCTCCTGCAACTGCCAGCCTGAAAAAACCCAATCTTCTCCCATAAGAGAATCACACACACACACACACAAATATGGAGGTCTTTCTCCTGGGGAACTGGAGACCAACCCAGTGATCAGCCAGTACCCATGTGATGTTGACCAAAACTGCAATCTGTCACTTGCATTGATTTTTAAAAGCCAAATTGTTTATATCTGAGAATTCTGGGTTGACTTCAATTTTGTGACCACGAATTCCATAAGGCCTAGTTGGTTAATAAAGTTTAATTTTTAATACTGTTAACTTCATTTGGCCAACTCTATACCAAAAATATCAATAAATATCAGTTATTAGCTCCACTTTCACTACTTTTCGTTGGAGCATTTTGACTTTATAAATACATTTCAGTCTTAGCGCCAACCCCGACTGGGGTTTAGAATTCCATACCAGAGCACATCCCCTGGATGTGGCTCTGATATGCACAATGATATTCCCGGAGTCAAAAAGATAAAGGAAAAGAACAGGTGGATGAATGTTGTTCCTGGTGAACAGTAAGTGTGCTGAGTCTCTGGAAGTCAACTGGAGCAGTTGTCAGAAATGGCTGTGACCATGGCCGGGGTGAGGTCACCCTCACAGTGTACTGTCAAGCATCCTTTTCCTGGTTTGTAGGTAGAAGATGCGGTTCTCTTCAGAATAAGTGACTTTACTGAGGGGCAGCCTGTAGATGTTGGAGTTTGTTGTGGTCATCAAAAGGAACAGTAGTGTGGCCAAACAGAAGGGCCAGGTACAGGATGGGAGTCCAACCTGGGGAAGGAAGAAGAAACAAGCCACATATTACCTTGAGGTCCCATCTGAGAGCGAATCTGCACACAGCATCACTCTCAACTTTCACTCCAGGAGAAGAATCAGTGGGGCATTGCTCTGAATTTTGTTTATGCCCATGGAGAATAGTTTAAGGTCTCAGGATATTTAGCATTTGAAATGTTTTCATCCAGTTATAGCTCCATCATGTATATTTTCCCTCCTTCTCAAACATTTGGACTTCCCACACCAGATGTGCAAGAATAACACTTGGCACACGGAGATGACACTTAGCAAAATGCTAAACTCTTCTGACCATGCATTGCATCCACAAGGCCCTCACTGATTAGTCCAGCCCATGGTGACTTTTCTGATCATGACTTCCACTTAATTTTGCTTTAGGTCCCTCTCCTGTGCTCTCCATGCAGCATTAGTAGCAGGAAGACTAGTGATTATCATAGTCATGGGTCCTCTTGCTCAATGCCTGCTGCCCAAGTGGACATCAGGAGAGTTTTCCATACAACTGAAAGCTGATCAATCACATGATGATAAAATGAAACTGAAGCAAACTCACATGAGCCATCAAGTTTGTCAAGGTGCCTCCAAGATAAGCGGTGAACAGGGCTACAAAAAAATGGGGGGGCAATGTTTGGTTAATGTGTTTTTAATCACCAGAAAGACTGTTTAAATACAAATCCCCCGGAAGCTATCCTTGCACACACTGCCACCTAATCCACAAGCCTAATTACAATATGAGCGTAGATTCAGTAGCTCTGAGTTCAAATTCTGCCTCCAACACTTAGGTGCTCACTGAACTCTGTCCTAAACCTCTACTTCCTCACCTATACAAAGGAAGTAAGGGATTATCTCTCTCTGGGTTATATAAATATAATGTTTATGTTTAGATACAATAAATACTCAGTATAAGTAGTTTTATGGCACTATATTGTTGTATATTATACTTAAGGGAAAGGCCTTTCACAGCAAGTACATTCTTGTATTGCTTTATCAAGCATGACCAAATTTAAATGAAACTAACCAATGTTTCTGCAGTTAACCTCATTTTTATTTGACCTCACTACATCTAGGACTCTCATTTTAATGGTTAAAATTCATAGCTACAGAAAACTATATAGAAATATATAGAAATAAGAAAGCAAGAGCTCAGAAAATAGCACAAACCTAACAAAAATTTAAGATCCTAACCCCACAGTACCATTTTCCCAATAACAATTTCCTAAAGTTAGCATACAGTTCAACATAGTGAATTATTTCTTTTCTGAGTTGCTTCATTCTGGGGTGAAAGGCTGATCTTTGGAAACAGTCCTGGTTTAGATCTGCCATTGTGTTTCTTGTATATAAAAAAAAATCAATGAATTTCTCAGAATCTTGTTTTGTCACCCAGAAAAAGGCAACTCAGAAACCTGCTTTACAGGTAGGTGATGAATCTCCAATGAAAGCATGTATTTCCACTGACAACAGCAGTGACCCCCTGAGATGGAAATGCTGCTCTGAAAAGCAGGGTACTCATGATGTGGGTTGAAAGGTTTCCCTCCTCTTTGGTTTCATCAGTTTCATTTATTTTTAAGACATAATTCATCCATTCAACAGCTATTCACTGGCCCTCTGCTAAGCACCAGATGAACTTTATCCCTACTCCTGTGAGTCCCAGCTCCATTGCGACTCTGCCCCTGAGCACACAAGACCTAATTGCCAGTTCTCTCCTTTTAATGTCCACTGGACTTCGAGGGCATGCTTTCAGCAATTGTGTTTCATACTGCTAGGCTCTTTTGGAGTGATCTCCAATCTAAGCTGCTTCTTTCTCCACAGCAAGAGTGCAAAACTAGGAAATGTAGGTGTTCATTTTTAGGACTTGCTAGCAGGGCTGGGAAAGCCTTAGGGCATCAGGGAATCTCGGCACACCATGCTCAGTCTATAGGTAATTTCCTGACAGCATTTTTGGTAGACAAGGAAGAGAAAGGGCCCTGGATTTCAGCTTTTTGTGACAGTGTCTATTCCAATGGACCATCATATGCGAGTCCCACTATAATAACCTAGACATTGACAAGGGACAAAAATGTGCTTATAGCATACACAGTTAGGATAATGAAATGGGACATCCTTTGGCTATGCAATCTGGAGATAGGGAAGGTTACTTTGCCAGGTGTGGTAAGAGTTTCCTAAGTCCTTTTTCCTGATAAAGAAATGTGAAAGAACAGCTCTGTGATCGATGTCTGTTATTTATTCACCTTGCCACCCAACATTGGCCTTTTGTTTGGCAGTGTCAGGGTGATGTGGACAAGCTGAAAATTGCTGTGGTACTTTACATGTGAGACTTGCTTTACAGAAGGAACAGGAGTCTGTCTCAAAAATTCACATGCAGGGTGCAAAAGTCTGATAGGACCCAGTGAGGAATCTTACACTGTGCCAGCAGCAGCAGTGGCAGTGGCAGCAGTCAAAACTGATATGGGTCTTTTAGGGAATGAATCTGGCACCCACAGCAACTGAAATCGTCATTCTTTTTGAACCATCACAAGTATGTCTAAATACTTGTACAAAAAAGACAAGGATATTTGCACCAAAAATATTCACTGGGGCAGTGTTTCAAACGGTTCCAAACTGGAAGCTGTGTAAACTTCCTCCAGTAAGCAGGGGCTCGCCGTGTAAGGCACTGCAGGGTAGCTGTCTCTGCTGCCTCAAACAGTGGAGGCTCTGCACCCTGCGAGGTAGAGCCCTGCTTTCTCGATCGCTCAGACATCTCTGGAGAGATGCCAGCTCAGTCCTTGCTTCCGTGACCCACTCATAGATTCATCACTCAAACATCTGGTATCCCTAGGAGAGCAAGTTCCCAGGGCAAGGAAAGCGGACACCCAGGGAAAGCGAATGCCATGAAAGGAAAACACATACTGGATATAGAGCCAAAGAATAACTAACTGGTTAACTAACTAAACTGGACCTGGGAAATATTAAGAAAAAGTCAGAAATGATGAAAAATTAATATAAAGCATTGTGTTCCAATAACAGAAATCCCAGAAGGAGAGAGAAAAATTATTGGAGAGAAAAGAATTGAAAAATTGAAAACCAATAATATGTCAGAATTAAAAGAAGGCATGAGGACTCACATTGAAAGGACTTGAGTATCTAGTAGCATAGAAATGGAACAAAACCTTCATCTAGACAGACAATAGGAAAAAAATATATGCCTCTTTATCAAAGAGAAAATTCTGTGTCCAAAGCAAAAAGAAATTCATCTTTAACTAGAATTAGATTCTTTTTAGACACCTCAATAGCAATATTGGATATAGAAAGACAGTGGAATAGTCTTTGAAGACAGTTTTCAAAATATTGAGGTAAAGAGTTAAGTCTAGGGGTTTTCAGCCAGTTAAACTAAAATTTAAATGAGGGTGAATCAGGCACACAGGGTTTTTGGAAGTTTCCCCCACTCTGAAGAAGTAATCCAGCAAGAAGATACATAAATATAGAAATCTGGTATAGACTATGGTGGATTAGGATGAATGCACAAGTCAGTAAACTTTACAGCCTTCTAAATAAGTATCAAAAAACTTAGTCAAGTACAGTGGCACACACCTAGAATCCCGGTACTCTGAGGGGTTGAGGCAGGAGGATTCCAAGTTTGAGCCCAGCATGGGCAACTTAGTGTCTTAGTGAGACCTTGTCTCAAAGGGAGAAGATATATCTAGGGATATAGCTCAGTAAAAAAGGTTCTGGGTTCAATGTCTAGTACCAAAACCAGACCAAGACCAACCAACCAAACAAAAAACAACGAGAAGAAACTGCACAAACAAATCCAAAATGCACATTCTATGCAACAGCAGCATGATTTTAGTAGTTGTTAGTGGGTAAGCCTTCCCAGGAAAAGGTAAAAGCAGGCTCAGATATAGTCATTTCTGGGGAAAGATAAAGGTATTGATAAACTTAAGAAATGGAGAGGGAATACTAAACAAGTTTGATCCTTAGTAAATTATGCAAAACTACCAGAAAAAAATTTTCCATATCCTTAAATAGTACAAAATATTAGACACTATATTGGTATGCTTTATGCACACATTGTTACAATGATTCCTTGAGGCAGGCATTGTCACTCCCAATCTCTCGAGGTCTGTTTTAACCCAAAGGGCCACTATAAGGGCCTTAATATGGCAACACGGAAGCAGGCTGGGATAGTGGGGCTGGGAATAACTTCTCTGCATTAACTTGGTAAATGAGGCTTCTAGGTTTGGATCTGCCCCAAATAAATCCAGCTGGGATGCCTTTCAGCATTACCCTTAACCTTTCTGGCCTCAGTTCCCCAACTGTAAAGTGAGAAGGATGGACTGGAGGTCTACTGCTCTGACAGGTGGAGTCTGGGTACAATTCTGATTAATATACCAGGCCAGTGTATCAGCTGGAGTTTCTCAAAAGTTCTGGGAGCTTGTTAAAGCTGCAAACACAGTTCCCCCAACCCTGAATGGGAGATGGAGCAAGAGATGCAGCAGTGTCTGTTTTAAGAAGCATTCCAGGTGATTTTCTGATGCACCCTCAAGTTCGAGAACAGCTGGGTTAGGGCAATTCTCAGAAAGCCATATGTGATTTCACCTGATTCACCGAGAAACATGGCTCTGTATTTAGCTCATTTCCTTTTAGGTTTTTTTGGGTTAAACAATAAACATGAAAATGAAGGTCAGGTCAAGTGTCTGTCTCCTAAAATATACATAGTATAGAATGGTTAGGACCCAGAGCGTTCCCATCTTCACAATAATGAGTGGGGTAGATAAAGGTGACTTTAGCATTCTCAGAGGGAATGTCATTTGTCTTGCTCACATAGTTAGATAGCAAGTGGGCCCAAATTAGAATTATAGCTCTAATTTCTCACGCAGTCCTCTTTTATTGCTTGTCATTGCCTTTTATCCACAGTCCTGAGCAACCTTCCCCACCCTGGGTGTGGGATACTCACCACAGGCAAGAGCCAGGAGGTGGGCCTGCCAGGTGAGTGCTATGAACGTTCCTCCAACTGCGATGCAGGCCAGAGAACTGTTGAACCCCCAAAGTCCAGAGTAGATGTTCTTGAAAGGAGCTGCGAGACTGAGTCCTGTTGGGTGAAATAGGAGTGGTCAGAGCCTTGGACAAAAGGCAGGATGCTCTGGAATGGGTCTGGGGTGAGGTTGTGGAGTCCAGGGAATCATCCTGAGAACTCTCATTGATTCCTATAAAGCAGGGACTTCAGGGAAGGTCTGGAATACAGAAGATGCCTGAGACCATGAATGGGGCAGGGAAGGTATTCAGTATTTGGTGATCAGTCTTGTGCTTACCTGCTACTACCCCCAGCAATGATCCAATTGCAGCATGCAGGCACATGAGTGGGGAGGAGAGGAAGATGGCGGCCAGGAAGATGCCCCCTGTCCATGGGTTATCACAGCCATATATCTGACCAACCCCCACTGGCAGGGACTTCAGCAGCTGCAAAAGCAAGTACAAAAACGAGGCCACTAAAGCAACTGAACAGAAACCTTCAGGATACCCACAATTTCAGATTAGATTTAGCATACCTTATCTTTCAATATCAATATTACTAATGCTTAAAATCCTTTGTAATCACAGGAAGAAAAAATGACAGTCACTCTTCAGCTTTATTCCCAGAGATACACTAGCCCTTCCTCACGTAGCTGAGCATGGCTTCTCCCAACACCTGCACTCACTGGCTTTCCTACTCTCCCTGACTCTTGGCCTGTGTCACTGCAGGGCTCCCAGTGTGATGTCGGTGCTTCTGGCTCTGAGGATCTGCCAAGCCGTCCCCTGAGGATGGCAGAAACCACAGCTGATGCTTCTTTTGCTCCTAACTGTCCATCAGTGCTAAGGGCAACTAAGCAATGCCTCCATATGATCAGTAGAAATGTTACTGTTGTGCGATTTGGCTGTTCACACTAAGGCCAGACACCTGAAGTCATTTTATCTTATACACAGCGTAGAAGCAACTGTAGGCAAATTCACACAGGCAAAGGCTGAACAGGGTTTTAGCTCTGAATTTGACAGCATAACTGATCCCTCAGGAGGCCTAGGGGTGGGAAAGGTGGATGCTATGGCAAAAAAAGTGTGTTAATGATGGGTTCATAATGAGGAAAGGGTGACTTTCTGCCAGGCTGATCTCCCCCTGCCCCAGGTCAGCACAGCACAACAGTATCTTCCATGACGGCAGCAGAGTGGATATCCCGGTGTCCAGGGCAGTCAGTACTAGCTGCGGCAGGTACTGAACTTGCACTATGTGACTAGAGAAGCTGAGGAACTGAGTTTGTAATTGCTTTGCGTCTAAATAACTACACGGGGCTAATGGCTACTATATGAGAGCATAGTCCTAGGTAGGTTAATCCTGTCTCATAATCTTTCATGAGTAGTTTTAATAAATCTTTGATTTCCCCCCTGAACTATTTCCAATTCATTTTCTAGGCAAACATCCTAAAGCAGGATGGGAATGTTGCTCAGTGGCACTGCACCTGCCTTGCAAGCACAAGGCCCTAAATTCAATCACTGGTACTGAACAACAACAACAACACCCTAAAGCAAAGGCTAAGTGAGCTTGTCCTTTGTTTTGATCACTTGGCAAAGAGGGCAGTAAAGGGTGTTTTTTTACCTGATAGTGGAGGAATTAGTCCTTTGCACATTAAAAAAGGTAAAGCTTTTATTTGCTTCTGATTTCAAACATTCTCTTGTTCTCAAGGATCAAGAAAACCTAAGCATATTTACTACACAAATACCAGCAGGAAGAGCTAGAATTTGATATGGTTTAATTGTGTTTTTAAAAGTGTGTGCTCTCTCCATGCCAACTGAAAAGACGTGCTTAGTAAGTACCCTGTGATACAATGGTTCTCAAATTCTGTTCCATATCACAGTTTGGGGAGTTTGTTAATACAAGTTCCCAGGCTCTATCTCCAGAGATTATGATTTAGGGGTCTGAGATGGAGCCTGTTTTGGTGTTTAAACAACTCCCCAGGTGATTCTGACACTACCAAAGCTGTGAAGCCTGAGTTATTGTTCTTACTCTATGATATACACCTTAAAGAAGGCAGGACTGAGATTCTGCCGTGTGTTCTAGGAGTAAGCATCCAGATCCTTGGGCCAGGGAAGCAGTTGTGAACAAACAATTCAACCCTGGGAAAGACGCCTGTTACACCACCCGCACAAGGCCAATCTTGCAACAGCGTCTGACTTCCATGGGGCTACACTCTGGAGTTGATATAGAAGGTTTTAGAAAGAGAGGGGGCAAATTATCTTTGGTCAAATAATTATGTAGGAAAATCCCTTAGGGCTGGCATGGTGGTGCACACCTTTAATCCCAGCACTGCTAAAGCAAAAGGATCACCTGAGAGCCTGAGGCCAGCCTGGACTACACAGTGAGTTTAAGGCCAGCCTGTGAGACTCTTGTCTACCCCCCCAACAAACAAGCAAACAAACAAACAAAAAGCCCCTTAGACCCCCCCAAAGCCCTAGAGCAGAACAAATGTTCTAGATAGCAAGATGAAGGCAGAAAGGCATTGAAGAAATGAGTATCTAGAAAACTCTGAGAGTCATAGGCAATTAACCAGGAGGACGTGGATGCATTCCAGAGGCAGGGGGAATGTGAGAAGGTGATGTATCTTACCTCCAGGGCACTGAGGTCAGACCAGGTGATGTTGGGAACCTCGCTTACAGGTGTGATCAGTTGACTTGGAAAGAACAGGTTGTGGTGTCCTGTGGCCGAAAGGTACATTGACAGTGCCATGTTGAAGGGGAGCGTGAAGACAGGGAGATCCCACTTGCTGAACACTGAGCTCAGGGCGCTTGAGAAAATGGGGCTGAAATGGAACAGAAGACGAGAATCTGCTTGTGAACCAGGTTGACTGAGTCTCTACCCCAGGGAGAGCTTAGCTTCACCCGCCAGTGTGCCCCTCAAGTGTTGTGTCTGCAAGCTTTCCACTGAAAGAAAACCTACTCTTGGCTTATTTGGCTCTTTGAAAATTGTACTCTGAAGTTTCTTAGACTGCACTGTGTATCAAGGTTTAAAAAATATTTTTGATGTACTTAAAACAGGACCTACATAGTCAAGGTGCCTCGGGAACGCAACTTGATCATAGGCCCTCTTCCTCCCCACTAGCAGTGACTGTGATCTGGAATTTGGCGCATAGTATGTCACATGTCTTGAGTTTCTCTATTTTTGGAAAAGAAACCATTGTTCAAGGAAGGATTCAGGTGTTGTGGATTGAAGGAAAAAGAAGTTACAGCCAGGGGGGGCAGTCTATATGCCTTTGAACAACTGATAAACTTCAAAACTTTAGGGAAAGCACTGGGCTTTAGTTTCCTGGTCTATCGACTTAGGATTGGTTAAATCGTCCCCAGGCGCCACCTTTCTCTTGCTTCCCCACCCAAACAAGAAGCCACCATTCTAAGACTAGAACACCAGATTTCCTGCTCCTGCCCTCAAGCCTGTTCTTTAGAGAAGCTCCCAAGCTGCCTCCTGGGAAACTAGGTTCTGCTGGCAGCCCCCCACCCCCAACATGTAGGTGCAACTAGGGTGAGTGCCCTTTAGCAGACACTGTCAAGTCCTGTGCTTTCCACTTGCGTACGTATTAATATTCTAAATACAACATAGAAAATGAAAATGTTTGTTTCTGAAAAAAGGACTTAAAATGATGTCTGAGCAATCTGGGAGGCTGAGGCAGGATTGCAAGTTGAAGCCCAGCCTGAGCAACTTAGTAATTTGGTTTACTTAAAACAAACAAACAAACAAACAAACAAATAAAAGAGCTTCAGGCTCAATGTCCAGTATAAGGGAATAAAACTGATGGGGTTCCAGGCAGGTAGTTAGGGGAATTCATGTAGGGGCAGTGGTTCTCAAAGTGGAGTTCCTGGATCAGCCACATCAGCGTGACCTGAAGACTTAATAGAAATTCAAATTCTCAGGCCCCACTCTGAATGAAGTAGATATTTTGGGAAGAGCAGCACCCATCTGTGTTTAATAAGATGTTAATAAATTTGAGGACCATTGATGTAGGGAAAGGATGATAACTTGGCTGTACTTTAACAGCCCCTGAAGAAATTTTAGAACTTCATTGTGCAGGCAACAGCCCAGACCAATTCCATCAGAATCTTGCTGGGTGTGAGAGTGTGTGACTCGTGGGTCACACGAATTGGAGAGCTCAGTGTGCAGTGGAGGCTCAGAACCTCTGCATGAGGGGAAGGTGTTGTGGACATGTAACAGAATTGGATAAAAGGCCAAGATAACAGACTGGAAAGATACACACTTTTGTGTGTGTGGTGTGAGGGACTGAACGCAGGGCCTTCACATGGAGCTACTCCTCAGTCTTTTTTATTTTTTATTTTGAGATTGCATCTTGTTAAATCACAAAGTTGCCCAGGCTGGGTTCAACATTGCAGTTCTCCTTCCTCATCCTCCCATAGTTTGGGCCTAGAGGTGTGTGCCACCATGCCTGGCTGTGAATATAATTTTTAAAAATTATTCATTTATAATATAGCTATTTTGAAGTGTGCAGTTTGACAATATTAAGTACACTCATCATGGCCATCCATTCACAGAATAGTTTCTATTTTACAAAACTGAAACTTGAACTCATTCAACACCAACTTCCCATTCCCTCCTCCCTCCATAATTTTTTAAAAGACATTTTGAAAACTGGTGCAACTTACCAAGTCATGGACATAACAGATACTGGCAGTAACAGCCACCAGAAATAGTTTCCCCTGTCTGAAAAGACAGCGATGAGAATCCCCACCAGTGTGGCGTTGTAGCCATGGAGCCCTGCGGCTATGGCTGACCTGTGGGCAAGAGACATGGCGGGGGTGGGGGAGACTTGGGTTAGACTTGCACATTAATAATGCTGGTAACTTCTAGATCACATTTGCATTTGAAACAAAATGATAGTTGGGGCTGTGTTTCAGAGCCTGCTAAGCACCAGGCAAATGCTAATAAAAATAAGAAATAAAATATATGTAGTTAAAACTATTAAAGGGCACACAGAATAACCTCCTCCAAGGTGTTGCAGCAAAGGACATGTCTCCAGCACCTGCTTTCCGTCTTTCATTTGGAAAGTTCTCATTTAAGAACTCTTATTTGAGTCATTAAGAGGCTTTGAGATGAACAGAGCTTTTTGCACGTGAAACTATTTCCTAAGTCTGATTCCTCGGTGAGAGGCAGACAATTCCTGAAATGAAATGTAGCCTCCCTTGCTTAGTGTCTTTGTAAACGTTAATCTTCCAGCTTAACATATATTTTATGTTCCTGTGCTTCCATGTTTTTGTGTCTAAAGCCACATCTCCAAGTCATTGCCAAAAATATAGTAATTATTTTTCTTCACTTCTCACATAAACCTTTGCATGGTTAGTTCCTGACGCTTTTGAAACCACTTTCTGCCTGGAATTTGACCCCACTTCTAAAGATTGTCCTGTGGATACCTCACTCTCACTCTTGGGCCATAATGGTCCTCATTTCATAATGAGAATTAAATACCCCGAAAAATGGAAATATTTCTGTAGAATAAGTCCAATGGCTGATCAACCCCCCGCACCGCAAGTTGGCACTGTCTAGCACCACAGGTTCTGTTTCCCTGAAGTCCTGAACTCAGAGGCAGTGTTTGCAGGAGTTGTGGAGAGTAAAGATAATGAATGAGTGGGTGAGGCTGAGTGCAAAACCGGAGGGCAGGGGCTGCCAGGGGGTGGCAAAGGAACTTCTTGGCTTGTTTCTTACTGGGCCGGGAGGCACCAGTGCAGCAGACAAGTTGATGTCAGGTCCATTCGTAGGACTGAGAACATTAGAGGTGGGACTCATTGTTCAAAAGTCCTTTGTCTCCCTTAAATTATCCTCCGGGAAATGCAGGAGGTGGTGCAATTTGTGTTGGTATAATCCAGAAACCGGAACTACACCTGATGACAGAGAAGAGCTCTGCAAGGACTTGTCACCCCAAACAACTGGGTTGGAGCTTTAATACTTGCCCTTGGCTACGTGAAACTGGATGGCGACATCTACAAATTGTGGAATGCCACAGTTAAAGCAAAGCGATAGGAAGACATGTAGTCACTTAAAAAAAAAAAAGACAAAAGATAATTCTGTTTAACAGTACTGGGGATTGAACCTAGAGGCTTTGCACTGAGCTACATCTCCATCCCTTTCATATATTTCTGGTTTTGAAACAGGGTCTTGTTAAGGTGCAAAGTTGCTCAGGTTAGGTCTGAACTTGTGATCCTCCCGCCTCAACATCTCAGAATACTGGGATTATAGAGGTGTGCCACCACACCCAGTGAGAATTGCCATCCAAAAGAGTTTTTAAATAAGTCTATGTCTGTAACACATGATGAATATATTTATGGTGGGGTGTTATTGCATGCTGACTATTTTTACTTTCCCTTCTCCTCTCCTTCCTCTCATCTCTCCCATCCCTAGATCCCTTTCCCATCTCTACAAAATCTATTTCCCTGTTTTCTTTCTTTCATTTTGCCCTTTAAATTATTTGTACTTTGGTTTGTCATTTTAATGTAGTCTTTGAGGACCAAGGAAAGTGAAAGAGATTTGAAAGCAAATATGTATAAATTCGACTTGTCTTCTGAATATCTGCCAGCGAAATGGGGTTGGCGTGTTTCACTGGAACGAAACAATGGAGTATTAAGTATGGCACAATCCTAGGACAATCCTAGAATTTGTGGTTATTCTTTTCTTTAGGAGCTGAGCTGACCTTTGGTGTTCTCTGAAGAATGACTTTGATAAACTAATGATGGAAATAAGATGTGAAGCAGGCTATTAAGCCAATAAGACTTCTCAAGAATTCATATGCATTTTTGCCCAAACAAACCAAATGCTAATGAAAAGTAATTTTCACAGTCATTAGGGAAGATCTCTTTAGAATCTCTCGGTGATTACTTGTAGCTTTAGTTCTGGTTCTCACTGCCATGAGAACCTGGCATCATTTAGCCAGGCCATTTATTCAGATAACAAGAATAAGAGACTACAAATGACTCCCTGGCCTCTGACTCAAGGCAAATAGGAAGAGCTCTGTGGAATAAAGGTTGTTTCTGCTGGGCAGGGTGTGGCTCTGCCACCACTGGCTGCAGTGGCTGGTTGGCTAGTGTCTCAGAAATGGGGCTGAGGGACATGCCCACCTGTCCTGGCCCAGCAAGAGGGCTGTCATAGTGGAGACCACTGTTCCCACACAGCCATTGAGAGCCCACCACGGGTTCTGGATCAGCAGTCCTATCACAATCAGGATCCCACTGATGGGGTTGCTGATGAATACCACTTGGGATATACCCCGAAGAACCCAGTCAACGAACTGGAGTGTCACAGGTTTGTCTGCAAGAGACGAAATGAACACAGATGAGAAGGCAGCAGGACAACTGAATCTCCTGCCCCGTCTCCACGCCCACCTTGAGCAAAATCATCTCAATCTCCTGGAGGTGAATCATTTTTTACCCTCTTGGAAGCTTCTTTCCTCTGAACCCTTTGCCCCTTTCATGACATAGAGATTCCTGAAATCACTTGATTTCTTTATGCTCAAGCGACGCTTCCCCTACTAGAATCTATTCTTCAGAAAGCATCTAATGCATTAACCATGCTTACACTGTTAAACCAAAGTCATGAATTACTAATAATAAAATTTAATACTGAAATTACAAGATGGAGCCAGCTACTTTCCTTGAATAGGAGTAGAACCCTGTCCCTTACTGTTGTTCCCATGAAGAAAAGTGGAGGAGTTTCCAAGTTAGAAGATTAAAAAGTAGAAAAAAGGAGGGTAATATATTGGCAGTATATGTAAAGTGGAAATACTGGCTAACCATTTTCTCCACAGCTACTTCTCCCCCTCCCTAAATGATGGATGCATAAATACCTTTAAGCCATTTGGCAAATTCTCTCATATCACCAGTAACATAGCCGATTGCCTTGGGGATACACCTTCTCTCTTGATGTGATGAAGTCGGGCTTTCATCGTGGTCTAGTTTAATCATTGTAGGGATATCCTCCATGACTTCTTCTTCCTCTGGCTCCTTGAGTGAAGGATAGCGCTCATAAATACCTTAATGCAGAACACTCCAGTTTGGCCAGCTTAGGACTTGGTCACAGTACCCACAAAAAATGACTAAAGGCATTCATCCGGACCATGCTATCTCTAAGAAAGCACCATTCCCCCCATAAAATATCACAATGGAGATTATTGTCCAAACCCAAATCCCATGCTACTTTTGTCACCAGCGTCTTCAAGGCTATATGATGAGAAGACTCTGGCTGTAATATTGTAAGGTTCAGCTTCTAGTTCAACATACCTTTTATTGAATCTCTACTTTCTGTACTTAAGGAGCTCAATGTAGTTAAGAAAAAAGAAAAACAGCTAACATCAATATAACAAGTCAAATAATAGTATAGAAAGGGCTAAAATCAAGTCATTGTGCTTCATGCTATCAACTAAAGGGGCAAAAAAATCAGATTATAATGTGGCCATTCCCTAGTACAGACTGGTCCATTACTTTCTAAGACAAGTAGCTGTTTTAAATTAAAGCCTTATTTTTCAAAAGATGAGTTTTATTTAAGACTTTGAAAAGGAAAAATGTTTTAAAATAGTTTGTGTGTGTTAATGGTCCAAAAACCCCTCACCCCTGCTATTCAAGTCCAAACTTGCTTGGTTTTGTCCTTAATTCATGCAAGTGACTTTTTACTTTTGGAATCTATTATTTAAATGTGTAAAAATAGGCAAGAATGATTATTCACAAAGGTGTTAAAATTGAGAAAGGTTAAAATGGACAATACTTCCAAAACCCAAGGATTTGTAATCTAAAGATTTTATGATATAAAAATGTGCAGGGCATAATTATAGCAGCATACCTCAGGAAAATAAGAGTGGTATAATCAGTGCTCAGTAGGGGGCTATATTTCTTACAAGTACACCAACATCATGAGAATGTGGTCCCCTATTAAAAAAATGAAGTTTTCATGGTGCTGATGGATAAAAAAGAACACCAATGACAGAATCCCAGAGGTAGGCAGTGGGACAAAGACAATGGTCATACCTACCACCCTGAGTGTGTGAGAAAAGCCCAGAACACAGCCAGATCAATGGGAAACAGAGAAACCTCAAAAACCATCAGCCTCTAGAAGGTATAAATATGGAATGGTGAAGCCACAGCTACATCAGATATGACCAAAGAGATGTGCAAAGTCCATGCAGATAAACCAGCTTGATTTCCCCCCATGGCAAGGCTTTGAACAAAAAATCACCCCCTGGTTATTTTTGGCCCTCCCATTCCATTTACCAAATCCAACAAATAGCTATTAACAGATAATGAAGTCACGTCTTTTTCTTTTTTCTTTTCTTTTTTTCACATCCTGAGTCTAGGTTAGGTTTCTATTAATTCCAGCACAGAAATAAACTGTACTGATTTATTAGTGAGTAACAATTATACTTCAATTGTGTTATTCACTGTCCAGTTAACCATCTTGCTTTTAAACAATGGTAAACCATTAATCATTGCACAAAGTGAGAGCCCTTTATACAATACATTCCAGATTAAGTCATTCTTGGCAAAACAATCTGTCAGAGTTCTAATGAATCTAAGAATTCCTTATATTGAAAACTGAGGAAGGCCAGGAATCTAAACTCTCAGCAGAATTGAGGAGACTCCACAGTTAAAGATGTAAAACTGAGTAATTAAGTGTTTATGAAAAATTGCCTTTTATTTCATAAGCTAAGTGATATCTTTCCTTCTTTTCAGATATCTCCCTCTTTAAATCCTATAACTCAAAATTGTGCCTAGTAAACCCCTCTCTCAGATACAGTGATCATTTTCAAAGCCACAGGTATGAGAGGCACTGGGCTTCAACCCAGGCAATGACAAGAAGCTCCAAATTACAATTGCCTTGAGTTTTTAGAACTAAATATATCAAGTTCAAAAAGTGGCAGTTATAAAGGAGAACACCAAAGTGGCATTTTCCGTCTGCTGGGGAAGCAAATTCCAGAGTAAACAAACTCATGTTCTCAAAATATCCAGTATATATTTATTTTAGAAAGTTTTAAATATCTTATCTCTTTAGAGATTTTGGAGATAGAGATTTCAAACCTGATAATATAACTGGCCAGGCACGATTGAGAACCTGAATGGCCTGAGTGCCCTGATGAACCACTCAAAGTTAAGGGAAGACTAACTTCTTTGTCCAAATCCCCAGCCCACACTAGAAAAGGCTTATTGAGATTTGTGTCTCCAGTACCTGCATGTTAGATACACTACAAGGCTATGATATCATAGAAAGAGGGGGCTTCTCCTGACTTGATCAGGCATTCCAGAGGCCTTAAGAATCATTTATTAATTTATTCTGAACTATGAATCCTTCTTGAGTCCCTGGGACCCCTGATACTTACCTGTTTCAGGCTTGAGAACTGGCTAGGAGAAACCAATAGTTCACTCTAGAATTATATCAAGCTAGAATACATACGTTTCTTTAGGAAACCAAGAATCTATACATCCTATGTGGGAAGGCAATTCAGGGCTCTGGAGATAGACTTTCTAATTAATGCTAAATCCTTACCAAAAAAGCAATTCAATGGAGAGGAGAGAAGAGTAAAGTAAAAGGAATTTAAAAGAAAGAGGACAAACAAAATCCTAGCCTATGTTTTCCTGGTGTTTCTAAAGCTTTCAAAACTCACTGGCTCAGTGGTCCAGGGCTAAACTAGGGGGATTGTCCTGTGACTTTTAGGCCTGAGACTCCCTGTGCCTTTGGCTTAGCCACGGCCCCATGCTCAGCACAGCCTGCTGATTCCCCACTCCCTGGTCTGCTCAGAAAAGACACACTACACCTGGGGCAGGTTCCCAGGTTCCCCGAGACAGAAGCTGCAGGAAGCAAGCATACCTGTTCTTGCTGCCCATCGATCAGGGCCAAGCTTAGCTGGACGAAGCCTTCATGCTCTGCTTCACCAGCATTATTTCCAAAAGGATCTGTCCAAAGAGGACCATGATGGGTGTAACCAGCGCCACCAACCAAAGACCGTCCATTCATCCTTCTTTTTTCTCCATACATGACAAAGGGCAAAAATATGTGAATCAGCAGGAGGAGTCCTGACTCTGGTGAGCGTGGGAAAGCCCAGATGGGGAGAGGCCATGCCCGGGGGTTCCTGTGAGGGAAGACTGCCTGGCATGAGCCTTCTCACATACAAGGTGGATGGCTTGCAGTGGGAGAGGAGAGACAACGGGCTGGCTGCAGGAGTGGAAAGTTCATTTTATTTTGCTTTTAAAGAAAAAATAAGTAGAAAACTCTGTTGCACAGAACTCAAGGTGCAGGCTTGGTTCTGCTGCTTCTGTTTCTCACTGCCGGAGGTTGGCCCTTCTGAAACCTGTACCAGGGCAACAGGGTGGGCTTCAGGCTCTGAAATGCACCCTGCAAGTTGTTAAGGCTCCGTACTGGGCACCTGCACTGAGGCAGCAAGTGGAACAGCCTTGCTCTGTCTTGTTCTTTATCAAATGTGAGAAAATGAAGGTGCAGTGTGGGTTCTATTTCTGTAATAAGATACTAGCTGCACTTTTTATGCCCAGCAAAAGCCCATTCTAAAAGGCTGGTCAATAGTAGCTTTTCTTGTGCTGGAATAATAATTTTAAAATATTGAATATTACTTTGTTAATAACAAACAACTCTTAGTTGACAAGTGTGACAGGTTGAAATAATTTCTGTCTTTTAAAATTGCATCCAAGGATAGGTTCCAGAGGTTCCAGAAAAATTCTATGTGTGACATTTCTTTATTTCTCCCCCTTTTACTTATTTTCTTTTTATTTTCCTCTATTGGGTTGATTTGAAACTTGAAAACTTTTCTAGTAACTCAAAAAAATCCATGATTATGGGCCGGGGATTTAGCTCAGTGGTTCAGTGGCCTGCCTTGCAAGCGCAAGGACCTGAGTTCAATTCCTGGTACCAAAAAAAAAAAAAAATCCATGATTGTGAGAAATATTTATGTTGTGTTCTGGGAAAAAAAGTGTGTGTGTGTGTGTGTGTCCATGGCAAACTATCTGGCTAGTTTTGTACCAAACCAATGTGTTTGAGAGCTGCATAATGAATATTTAAGAATATTAAGAAAACCAAGGTCAGACTCTCATCTTATACTAGGTTAAGAAAGAAAAAGAAAGAATGATGAATGAAAGAAAATAGAAAGGAAAGGATCAGCAGGGACTGTCACATTCTCTCAGTGTGGATTCCTGTTCCTGCCACCCTCACTCAGCAGCAAGTACCTTCTCCTACCACCAAAATCCCATGCCACTCCGAGAACCACATCCTTGAGCTCAACATCAGTACTTTCTTAGATCTAAGAATCAGAAATGATTTGAGAGCGAGGAGGGATTTTTTTTTAGAGAACTCACCATCCAAGCTTTCATTTCCTAGAAAACTGAGGTTCAGAGTGGGGGCTGCTCAGTGAGTGGCAGGCGGATTGAGCCTCGTGGTATGGGCAAACCTGGCTGGCTCATGGTCTTCTGGGTTGGGGCCTGGTACGTTAATGCTACCCAGGACTCTAATCAGTCACAAGCTGAAGGAGCAGCGCCTAGAAATGTAACAGACCCAGCAGCTTATATTTATGGTCACCTTGAAATAACCATGGGGCTGAACAACAACAAAGAAAGGGCTCTGCCAGCCCTGATGTCACCGTAGACCCTGGCAGGAAGTAGTTGTTCTCTCATAGGCAAACATCACCTGTACCTCAATGAAAATCTCACCCCTCGCACTGCCCACATGGCTACAACAAAGCTCGCTTGTGCTGAGGTTAACAACCTAAGAATTCTGGAAGCTGCACCTGATAGGCTTTCCTGCAGGAGCTCGAAAGAGCTTCTCACAGCCCAGACTACTAACGGAGCGAGGCAATAGTAAGATTCCAATTCAGCTGATATTCCTATTTTATTACATGAAATGAAGCTCATTCTATTATCAGCATATATTAGAAATTTGTACAATTGGAGAGACCCAAGAGTCTTTAAATTTTTCATGCCTCAAGTATCACTTCAAAAATAATACAGTTTTAGTTCTGGATATAGAGGAAAACATTTAAACATTCATGCTCCATCATAATTATAAGACTTTCAGTATTGACATTTATTTGGTACTTACTATAATTTTTATTTTAGGTAGTTTCTGATTGTAACTGGCAGGAAGGCCTCTGTTCTCGTTACAGCTGTAATCAGAAACGAAGGAGAAGCTGTCAGGTATCCCTGTCTCGGATGAAAACATTTGCCATCCCAGAAGACACCCCTCCTCGAAGCCTTAAGTTTTACTTGCTAGAAAATGCCACAGCAGGAAGCTTCAGAATTCACTGCTTTAATTGTGACTGAATGGTTCTCCCTATGTGCACACAAACTCATTCCCTTTAGTGCAGCAGCAACACAGGCAGAAGAGCCCATAAACTCATCAGTGGAAAGGGCTATTCCCAATACCCCACTTCTTTCCTTTGGGTCACATAAATGCTTGTCTGCAACTTAATTGTTTCATGAGCACACCCTGAAAGTTCCACTAGTGTTAATGAAGTCAGAGGCATTTAGCACTCAGAATGAAAACCTTATGGTGGGCCCTCTTCCATGCCACCTGCTCAGACATCACCAATAAAATCATTACTTTTAGGCTTCCAAGAAGAAGCTTCCAGTGAATCACTTTTTAGTCTTTCAGAACTCCAACTTCGCTGCTTCTACTCAGTTCCTACAACCGGAGTCACGTTTCTCCATTAAGTGAAGAAAAGGGGGCACAAAGAGCAAAAACTAGAGAGGACTAAGAAGACACACTTCAACAACGAACAGTTGGAAATGTACGGAAAGGAGGAGGATACTTACCCTCCTGTGGCTTCCGGGTGGCAGAAGGCGCTGGTGATAACGACCTGCCCGGCTCTGTTGAAAGGGAGAGTGCTGCAGAGATGGTGCCCGAGGGAGGCACCTATCCCTTTTATATTGGAGCCTCACTCTGCGTATCTGTGTGCTGGCTTTCTCCTCCCACTTCAGCCTCCTGGGCCAAAGCAATGCTGGGGAACTGGTCCTTGGCTTGGGACCTGATGTTTCTTTCTTTTTCTTGATTTGGTGCCAACAACTTTGCCATCATTTCCCCTGGCTTTCTGAGTTTTTTTTTTTCTTCCCAGAGGCAGTTCTACCCAAATTCATTTTTTTTCCTCCTTCCTACCGTTTCTTCTCGCCCCTAAGCCCCACCCTGAAATATTTTTGGAAAGATTTATAACAGAAAGGACCTACATAGCGTCGCTTAAACTAAACTCCACAGGACAGGTTGCCGAGAGTGGGCTCAGTTATGAGGTGGCTGCTCTTGAATGTGACCCAATTTCTGCACAGGTGTGGGGACAGCAAGGCTTGGAGGGGCGCGCTAGGAGGTGGGAGGAGGAGGGGTGTGCAGATTGTTTGCTGCAAACCCAATGGTCTTTTATTAGCCTGGAGAAAACCAAAAGGCAAATGTTCCCCTGGAATATTCCTTTTTCCAGGTGAGAACCCTAGATGAACTCTGCTGCTTGTTAGAAGTTAGGAGGCAAGAATTCCGTAACAGGGAGATGGAAATTAAATTTAGAAGTTCCTTTCTTTCCCATTCTTTTTAACTTTCAGTTCTTCGTTTGTTTTTTTCCCCCCTATTATGGTAGAGACCTAACATACTCAGGTGCAGTGCCGTGAGCACAGAATTTTAAGATAATCCTCAAGAGAGCTGTGCAGATGTGGCCGGCCTGCCGCCTTCTGCAGGTGGAGATACTGTCCTTATCGGTCCTCAGCGAGGCCGCGCGCTCGCGGGCTCCACCCCCTGGACACTGGCCAGAACACAGGGCTTCTGGTCCTCTTGGGATTTCCTCCCTGCAGGTGCCCTGTGTCTGGGCCCCGAGGGGGATTCTATGGATCAGGTTTGGGATGATAGTCTTGAGGTTCAAGCAAATCTCCCTTCAACATTTTTTCCCCTGATAAAATGAGAAAATAAACTTAAGAGTTACCCTGAAGGAGAAAAAAATGAGTGACCAGAGGCCAGTGTGCTGGTCTTCTGGGAATGAAAGGAATCCCAAGTTTCCCAGAGCTCGTTATGCAAATCAACCCAGCCCCTCAGTAATAACAGTGATAATGGTAGTGATAGTAATGATAAGAATTATAATAAGAACTATAATGATAAGGATTATAATAAATAAACGATAAGAATTATCACAGATGGTCGAGCAGTTATCCGGCTGCTGAGCACTTTACATTAGTCATTTAACCATCACACAGATCCCAGGAGGTGAGAGCCATTATTTCTGTTTGTCAGATAAAGAAACTGAGGCTTGGAGAGTTTGTCCAAAGCTTGACTTCACACTTTATAACATTAATCACTCTAGGGCCAGTCCAGTGTTCCAAACTTCTGCCTATGTTTGCTTCATTCATCCATTAACTCAATCAACTCAATCTTCAGGACATTTATGGACTTCCACATGGTACCCACACAGCCTTCTGCCTCTGGGCCTGGCTGGGTTGAGGGTGTGTAGCTACTCTCAGGTTTTCCGGACAGCACCACCTCCTCTGTACTTTCCCTCTCTTCCTGTCCTCCACCCGGGGCTCTGTAAAGCTACACCTTAAATGCAGGTCACCAAAACTGCTTTGTCATCTGGTACATATAAGGTAATACAAAACACAGGGGTTACTAAGTCCGGTAAACCCTAGCTTGAATACTGACTTTGCTCCTTACCAACTGTGTGACCTTAGGTACTTTACTCACCCTGTCTGAACTCTAGATTCATCACCATAAAGTGGGTGCTTCTTTTTTTGCTTCTTTTATGAGGTTGTGGGGAGAGATGATGCATATAAAGCACTATGCCTGAGGCGTGGAGTGCCACGATTCTGTGTTTGCCCCTTTCAATCAGCACGGCATCGCCCTTGAAGGCTCCTGAATGGTTCTCTTTTCTCAGCTTGAACCTGGGGAAAAGTTCTTCCTGATCTTGATCTCAGAAGGGGTAAAGATGTGCACATGGAGACAACCAGAGCACACAGGTGTTCTGGGTGGTTTTAAATGGCACTGACCACACAGTTCAAGGCTCTTTTCTCGGTTCGTCCTCCAGTGTGTCCCAGTGTCCTCTACAGAGTATCCTTTGCTGGGTGCTTATGCCCTGACGTTGCTCTCTGCTATGCCTGTCCTGTGTCTTTCCTGCACCCGCTGGTTTCTCTCTGTTCCTCTTCTCAGCAAACTCACCTTCCATCTCTCCACCTGGCTGCAGTCACCGATGAATGGATGGAGAGCTTCTCTCCTCTGCTTCCTTCTTCATGGATTTTCTACCCCTAGAAAGCTCTTTTGCTAAGCTCTCTCTGTCTGTATTTATTTGGATTTCCAAGAGGCTCCTGGGAACTTAGAGCAACTTTTGTCTGTATTCTCACTGGACGTGTAAGCACACCCCCAAGCCCTGCAACAGTTTTGGTGTTTTCTTTTACTTTTAAAAACACATTTTAAGGGCTGGGGATTTAGCTTAGTGGTTCAACCTCTGGCCACACAAGCACAAGGTCCCAAGTTCAGTCCCTGGTACCAAAAAGCAAAAACATATTTTATATTGCGCTGTCCTACCTGGGTTGGAAGGTAAGAACGATAAAGTCAGGATCCAATGGTTCTCTTTATTCATGATAGAACTCTTCCTTTCCAGAAGGATTTTGAGTGGTTTATTAAATATATGTGAGAGGAGATAAGGACTAGATGAGAAATGAAGAAGGATAACAAAGCTGTGGATAATGATACAGTTTTAATATTTTTCTATGATATTTTGCATTTGTAAGTATTTCTAATATGTATTTGGCTCAAAGTGGGAGTGGTGGCATTGCCTGTAATCCTACCTACTTGGGAAGCAGAGGCAGGAAGATTGTAAACTGTCAACTGCCTCAAAATACAAAACAAAACAAAAAAGGGCCGGGAGTGTGTGTAGCCTAGTGTGAAGGCCTTTGGTTCAATCCCTAGTAATACACACACACACACACACACACACACACACACACACACACACACGGCAGGGGGGATGTAGCTCAGCACTTCCTGGATTCAATTCTCAGTTCACACAGAGAAACACACAGAAACACACACAGAGACACACACACACACACACACACACACTCCCTCTAAATATGTGTTGGACTCAGAAATTATTGCCATATGATTTCATTTTATTGCTACTCAATATAGGTAGTTTAACTTAACAAATAATTTACCCCTCTACCGTACATAATTGGGCAGGGCCCATACTCGGAAATTCTACAAGAGAATGCCCAGAAGGCTCCTCTGCATCCCAACCATGGCTTTCCTAAATGGCAGAGAGACTGCTGGAGAACAAAACATTCTCATTCTTCTTTATCCCCCTGTGCCCCACAAAGAGAAGCAAAGTGCCCAGATCGGGAACAGAATGTTCCTCCACAATGTGTTCTGAGCCCAAGGATGTTTGGCTTGGTAAACAGGCAGACAAAGAGGCACCGGAGGAGAGCCAAGTCCCCCACTGACCCAGAGCGCCACTTAGGGGGTACCCTTAGCAGCAGGCATTTGCTCCATGTGGAGCCAAGGGGCAAGCAGGTGCAAATGCCTCACTCAGACCTCTGCTGCCTACCTTGTCCAGTGGAGCATGGGGATGGCTGATGGCAGGAGTCCCTCAGGTACCTACAGTTTTGCACAGTCCTTTAAATACACAGTCCTGTAGTTATTCAGCTTCTTTTAAGGAGCGAGAAGGAGTCTGTAGGTTGGAGCACCCAAAGAGAGGTCATTCCTCCTGGGCAAAGCACAAGGGGGGTAGTCTCTATCCTAATCTATAACTTTCATCACATATGCATATCGTTTTTCTAGCTTTTAAATTTAAACCAGCCCAGTGGAAGGTTCGTAGAGTAAGTCTCTGGTGTCCTTGGCCAAGTACTGCAGGTTGTAATTGTACAAATGCACCAGGTCCAAAGGCACCATTGACACCTGACACGGTCATGTATGTATTCCAAGATTCCCGCAGATGGCACCAAAATATGCTGGGGAAAGGGTGCTGGGCTGTATTGGCTAGTAATGTCCTGCTGGGCTTTCGTTTTTTTGAGGACTAAAAAAAAAAAAAGTTCTCAATTTGAAACAGTGGGAAAAGGGGTGGTGGGAAGTGAAGCCTTTCAATCTCACTTGACTTCATCGAGGAAGGGAGGATGGTGTTGGAGGAGTGAGAAGGAGACTGGTAAGGCTGCATGTCCTGGGCCCTCTCCTGTGGGCGACTCACAACTCACTGCACTGTGGAGGAGCTGGTGAGGTTGGCTCTGAGCTTAGGCAGCTGTGGTTTGTTTTGAACTTGGTCTGAAAAGAGAAGATTGGATGGTCTGGCACCACCATTGGGAATGGGGATCCCTGAGGACTTGGGGTCCAGGCCACCTAGCCAGGGCCTGACTGGGATGGAGAGGCTGAGGCTGAGGTTTCTCTCTGAAGTTAGGCTGGTGGCACTGGCTCAGGCTCCTCACTTTGTCCCAACTGGGGCTTAATCTCTGATGACTCCTTGGGGTTATCAGGAGAGCCCCCTATTTCCATTCCCCTTGCCTCTTCCTTCCTTCACTGTTATGTGTCAAGGCGGGGGTCAGAGCCAGCTGCAAAAGGACCTTCATGGCAAGTGATTTTGCTACCTGTCTCATCAGCGACGCAGAACTGGACCAACCGCATTACATCCTCAGCTTCTGGGGTGCTGAACCTACAGACTGCTCAATCTTAGAATTTCCAAACCATGAAGCAAATATTCAGCTTTAGGTATTTTGTTGTAGTCTTGGAAAACTATTATCCCCGTGTAGACTTTGTGTTTTTTTAAAAAATTTAAGATAACTTTCAGATACTTGTGGATAGTATTCTTTGATACTACACCAAATCTTAACAAATGGTAGATTGTTTTTTAACAGCTTTATTGAAGTATGATTTATAGACCATAAGATATACTTAATCTAAGTTAAAATGCATAATACAATGACATTTTAATAAATTTACAGTTTTGCAACCATTGCCATAGTTCAGTTTTA